GCATAGCTCCTAGGATCATTGGGACACTCAAACCCCTCCACCACGATAAGGTAGCAGCCCAAGGAGAGGGGCCCCCTCATATTGATTTTAATTTTGGCCCTTTCAGAGAAAATGTTTGGGCACCCCTGGTCTACACTATGAATCCATGCAGGGAGCAGGTCTCTGTCTCCAGTCACTGTGAGAGCTGAGGTGCACTCAGCAGGTCACCAGTCATTCACCCTCTCACCACACCTAGGGCTGATTCGGACTCACAGTAACACGTTTGTTTTTGAGCTGTTGAAAGAAACTACCCAGAAAAAACCCATTCACGCACAGGAAGATAAAAATACAGCAGGTTTTTCTTATTGTCTGACATGAAATGAAGAGTTTCCTGTTATTGTTTGGTTGGGATTCTTCTATTTGTTCAGTGAAAGGGAATTTGTATTTTCTAAAAACACTTCATTAGTATTTGGTACCATTGTCGTTAAACTGTAGGACTTGGGTGAAGCGTGTTGGATCTCCTTCAACCAGCTCCTCACTGTAGTTGCAGGACTTTAGGCCCTCTTCAGCTCATTGTCCGTTAGGTAGACCCATTTGTGTCCAARCGTTGACTTCCTGTCTGATGTTGCTTCAGTGTTTCTACATGATGGTCTTACCTCATGTCTTTATCAAATGTTTCGGTCTGTTCTGCAGTAAACATGATGCTGCTGTAGTACAGCACAGTTCGCCTGCTGTCCCTCCAACTCTGTCACATTGGTCATTATGACCACAGTGTAATCATTCATCAGACCACAGGCTATGTTTCCCAACATTAACAGGACTTGTTTCACTGTAATAAACCATCAGTTTGTCAGGTTTGTGTCTTGGGTTCCAGCTGTGGGATGTGACAGACAGTGAGCTGTGTGTTTCAGCCTGTCAGGACTGTGTTTACCTGGATATTTAACATTACTGAGAAGTGTCGTTATCAACACACGCCTCTCTGCTTCAACATGCAGCTTTTCTAAAGATGGGAGTATTTATTGCATATGTCAGCAGTTTCTATTGCTTTTCTTCAGCCATGTTAACAAGCTGCCTCTGTCTCTGCAGGTGACCAACAATGGCTGTGAACGTGTACGCAACCTCAGTGACCAGCGACAACTTGAGTCGTCATGACATGCTGGTGTGGATCAACGAGTCTCTGCAGATGAACCTGACTAAGATAGAGATGTTGTGTACAGGTAAGAAACCAGCAGGTGTCACTTCATCAGGGAGTCCTGAAGCACAATACAACCTCACAGAGCCAGGATCAGTGAGTCACATTACAGCTGGTACCAACAACCAGATCTACAGTCTGACTTTTCTGTACACCATCATACTCAGGGTTCCTGCACATCCTTAAAAAGTCTATTAAAAGTCATTGAATTCATCAATCCAAAAATAAGGCCTTAATTAGCCTTAAAATGTCTTAAATCGATCTTTCAGAGGCCTTAAAAATATGAACTCATTTTAAATAGGATGACTGTAATTCATCTCAAATATTAAAATAATGGGTAAAAATTATTATTTTTAAATATTCACATGCAGATTTTCCCCTTTGACATCACTTCCTGTTATTTCACATGCAAATATCTCAGTTGTTTATCTGAGCAGTGTGAAATTTCTTTTGTAATATGTTAATAATGTTGTCTTTCCAAAAATGCATTCACTTTTCTTACAAAAACTGATGTCACTTTAAGGTTTCATCTACAGCAAATAGGGCTTAAGACCCCACTGTGGGTCCTAAAACTTCAAATTGTGGGCCGTTAGAGGATTTCCAGAAATTAAATTAAGTTTAAAACTGACTGCTAAGAATCTTTCTGCTATACTTAAAAATAATTTGATTCATGAGTTTCTGCCAGTTTTTAATTTTTTTGTCATTTGTGTTTATTATGAAATTGGTCTTAAAGGGATCCCCGATTGGTTGTAACATTAGACTTTATTTAATAAACATATACTTCAACTGTAAAATAAAGACTAAAAATACTGTAGGATGATTAGTTTTCTAAATTTTAAAAAATATATTCTAACACAGACGGAGCCATTTTATTTACACACAAAGCATTCTGGGTAAATGATGATGTGGATAGGTCCTCGGTGCAAGGCTGCTAGCGAGCTATATCC